CACTGTGTTCAGAGTCAACAGATACGTTTGTCAACAGTCACTAACTCTGCTCAGTTGGACAGATTACTTTGATCAAGATCCGTGTTGTCAAAGCTTTTGCTCTCATTGTGACTCTTGCAAATTAATGAATGGTACAGTGTTTGACTCTTAGTCATCACTTTAACTTTGTTCTTGTTTTTTTGTTGTTTTTTTTGTAGAAGCTTCCCAATTACCTTAGAAAATTCCCATGTGATTGAAAGAGACCAGATCTTTGTCAGTGTCATTGATCATGGTCCTGATGGTGTGCAGTTAAGTTCAGCCTTTGACAGAAGGTGAGTTTAACCATGAGTGGATTATAATTGTTTACAACAATCATCATTAATCAAGTATTTTTCTTTTAAATTTCCTAAGTCACATTTCTTTTCTCACATTAACCCTGAGCTCCAAAGCAGCTCTAAGAATTATAACATTGATAATAAGTCTAGCTAATCTGTTGGTCTTCTGTGACAGGTTTATTCCAGAAAACATGGCTTCTCTGGGCAACACTGTTGGTAAGATCAATATGTTGGACCTGTTTTCCTTGTAAACCACCTTGAAGAGAATATTCATCGTTATAACTCTGATTCCTGTTTTTATTTCCTGCTCAGCCAACATGAGCCGTGTGGTTCCTCATGGCCTCTTGGTGTTTTTTCCTTCTTTTCCTTTAATGGAAAAAACCTTGGAGTTCTGGAGAGTTAGTGGTTTTTTGTTGTATTTTATTCTATTTTTTCTTGCATAACAAGTACTGTCAAATCAAATATCTCACCTGGTGTCATAATGGATGCTCTCTTTAGGCCAATGGACAGGCAGGTCGTATTGAAAATGTGAAGCCCATGTTTGTTGAATCTAAAGGAAAAGGCACATTTAATGAGGTGAGTTTCACTTGTTATGAAATGTTTCGGAATTTCCACTTGTCAGCAGCTGACCATACCCGTGTCTGTTCATAGACTATCGATGCTTACTACAACAAAGTCAGTGACCCTGCATCTAAGGGCGGATCCTTCTTTGCTGTGTGTCGAGGGAAGGTAAGATTTCCACAATAAAACATATCTTTAAATCTGACTTATGTACTGTTAAATGTAAGAAACACAGCCATCTATTTTGCTTTTATTGTGAAATTGTGAAAATAAGTTACAGTATTTTTTACACTTTCCATACAGGTTTTTAGTATTCTGACTGTAGCCACAGTGTTTGTACATTTTAGACTTATATTTGTTATAATTATATATTATTAAATGACCAAAATCAACTGTATGTTTCTCTGTAATGGAATATTCTTTCCTGTGTAAGGCCAGTGAGGGTCTGGATTTTGCCGACACCTTTGGTCGAGGTGTCATCATCACTGGCCTTCCTTTCCCTCCGAGGATGGACCCTCGAGTCATCCTGAAGATGAAGTTCTTGGACGAGATGAGCTGTAAAAAAGCTCCAGGTATAAAGGTGAGTGGTTTTTCCAAATGTGATGTTTACTTTTTATATGTGTGTTTAATGATTTTTGTGAATGTCTCTTTTGGACAGTACCTGACTGGACAAGAGTGGTACAAGCAACAAGCTTTTAGAGCTGTGAACCAGGCTATTGGTCGGGTCATCCGGCACAAAGAGGATTACGGTGCAATTTTCTTGTGTGATTGCAGGTAAAACATCACAGACTTTTTCACGTAGAATCTGGCTGTGAGGTCAGGATGAACAAATGATAACATTGTCTAATTTATGCAGGTTTAAGAACGCTGATGCTCGGAAGCAGCTTCCATCGTGGGTTCGTCCTTATGTGCGTCTCTATAATAACTTTGGGAATTTGGTGCGTGACGTCTCTCAGTTCTTCAGGGTTGCACAGAAATTGGTATGTACCAACACGTTCACAAGTCCAAAAATCTGATCCAGTTGAATTTGGTTTGTTGGTTTGAACCGACTGTGGTTCTTGAATGTTGAATGTGTCAGAGACCTGTGGTAGAGAAGAAGACTTCTGCAGACAGATGTGGAGCAGTGTGTTTTCCGGATAAAGCCTCCTCGACCCCCTCCTCAAGTGCATCGTTTCTGAACCCAAACATACAGAAAGCAAATGTCTTGGACGCACATTTTCCCAGCCTGAAGAGAAGGAGGCTGAGTGAGTCTGACTACAAAAAAAACTACATAAAAATCTGTCCTTCCTGTTTCTTCATCTCACCTGTCATGTTGTGTTCGTGGTCAGATGAACAGAGTGGAGCCGATGGGATGGCTAAAATCTGTGTGGAGTACGAGTCCGAGGTACAGGGGAGTCAGAGGAGGCCCCTCAACCTGTTGGATGCTCTGGAGCGAGGAGACCACAGTGAGGGAAACAGCAGTGCTGCTTTTGGAGAGGAGAGGGTAAGAGATGTTCTCTGTTGTAATAGTCTGTGATGTCAGAGTTACTTTCTGCCCACACATTTGCGTGTGAGATCCCCTACTGTTTTTGTATTTTAGCAAGTGTACGTTTAGAGAAAATAATATGGACAAATCACTAAATAAAACTTGTTGATGTATCTTTAGGTGCTAGAATATTACCAGTAAAAATCCATTAACTCTGTATTCATAACTTTATTAAACCTTTTAAGGCACACTTTCTGTCCACACTGTCTATCCGATCCGACAAACGAATGGATGATGAACTTAGAGGAGGAAAAAGGAAAATCAAGTTGGTACATGGGCAGGTATGTGTTTTTAAACCGCAGCACGTCTTAGAAACCGACTTCTCTGTTCTATGAGATGGTACCGTACACTGCTATGTCAAGAGTCTAAATAAATAAAACTGCTCTGACTGTTGTGACTGTGTCTTCTTCTCTCTCATTGGTTATAGAAACCCAGTGTGTCGGAGGATGTCTCTGGTGAAACTAAAGCCAACAAAGCTAAGATGTTCCTGGCGGACATGAAGAAGTCACTGAGCCAGGTGAACTTTGAACGCATCATTCGAGCTCTGAACACCTACAAGACCACAGACGACCTGGAAGCCCTGCTGACACAGTTAGCAGTTTTAGCCGAGGACACCAACACACACTGCCTACTTCGCGGTGAGTCTGCCGCTGTAAGAACCAGATAAATAAAAAAAATAAAATAAAAGGAGAAAGTTCAGGTCTTTGATGTCTTTCTCTCTGTATCCCAGGCTTCTACCAGTTTGTTCGGCCTCATCACAAGAAGAAATATGACGAGAAGTGCGTTGAGATGACTGGGCAGGGCTGTGGGTACAAACCTGAGCATGCGTTGTCAAAGGATGAGAAGAAATCACTGATGCTTCAGAGTGGTATGGATCAGTTTCATTTGAAGGCCCACTGCTGTACAAGTCTGGGTCAGAAATGTCAACGTTAACAGATGAGATGGGTCACTCTGTTTTTGTACAAGACATGAAGTAAGACTGGTACTTTTACTTTTTTAAAGGCCCAGACAAACAATCTGATGTAGCTGTGAGCGGCTGTAGTGCAATCTCCAGCTGTGGTCAACTCAGCACAGAGCAGCTGAACAATGGAGGGCAGCATTTGAGCCATCAGGGACTCAAAGAACCACCGACTGGTGAGATTTTACACCCTGAATCAGTGACTCAGAAACTTCTGTTTTCATAGCTGTTAATGCATTTAATTCATGTCTCAGTACAACTCAAGCTCTGGCACTTTGGTACTTTGCCCACCAGGTTCTGCTCCCAATAAAGGATTGTACACTGCCTTTATGACTGATGTGAAAAAAGCTCTTGGACCAGAAAAGTCATCTCAACTCTTTAAGGCAATTCATGCCTATAAGCAAAATGACAACTATGAAAAGATGGTGACCACAGTGGTGAGCTTATTTACAGAAAGACAGGATGACTTCGACCTATTAATGAGTAAGTAGTCTTTTTAAATCACACTACATATAAAGTCTGCTCATTTTTTATTTAAAGTTTAATATTATTCCTGCACATTATTTACTACCTTCTTTTTTATTTTCTTCCTGAAGGATTTAGTCGGTTCATTCCCCCTCACCATAAGAAGCAATACAAAGAGATGGTGGAGGCATTGATTAATTAGACACCATGACATGCTGGACATGCTCTATTTATATTTTTTATCAGACAAAAAATATTTGCTCCCTCTAGTGGATGTTAACTCACTGATTTCATTCATCTGGAAATCACCTGATCAGAATGATGCTTTGTCATCAATTAAATCAATGTCTGCTCTACTTTTTAAGTATGCCATGTACTGTGTAAATAATTATGTAATATTATGGATTTTTTTTTTAATTTTAGATAATTAAAGCAATGAAAAACTAGTCCGATGTGCGTTTCTTCTGTTATTAGAGCAGTCTGGTCTGTTTCCATGTATGATGGTTTTCCCACAATTTCCAATTGTCAAACTGCAGTGATAACAGCAGGACAAAATAAAAGAATACGACCAATAAACAAAAAGTAAACAAAGTAAAACTCGCTGAATAATGCTGAATGACAAATATGGAAAGATGTTTTGTCTCTCTCTCCCTTTATCTATCTATCTCTCTCGCTCTTGTATTCGCATGGCTTTATATTAAGGAGATAAAACATTTATCACACTGCTAAGCAATAAAATGCGTGTTTTTTTATTACCTGTCACCTGACATTTGAATGGGCTGGGGGTTGTATAAAAACCTAATTTGTGCAATACTGCCATCTACTGGACATTTATCACCACACATTAAGTCTGATATTAAAAGATATATTGGGTTCCAGTTTTCTTAAACAGAGTTAAATTTATTTACACAAGATAATACGTGATTATTTTGTAAGATTAATGCAGATTACCTCTTAATACACGCAGTAACCACAGGACAAATGTTTAGTCCAATATATATATATATATATATAAAACTTGCTCGTTTTATAAGACAGTAATATTTATAAAATGTATGTATAAAATGTTTGTATTCCTTGTTGTTATGTGGCTATTAATGGGTATAAAAGCTTCTGTTTTTGAACCAGCTCTTTAAGAGATTAATTTTCTACTATTATCTCGTGGCAGCCGGTTGGATATCGCGAGATCCTGTAGTAGAGGATTTCCAACATGGCAGGCAGTAAGTTGGTTCTAGAAGGAAGAGTGAGTGTAAAAAGCTTCATTTTAGGGTTGAGTGTGGTTATAATCCCGTTGATAAGAACCTGCTTTGGGCACATCGACTGGGTCTTTGATTATCTCACTGATATTCCGGGGAAAATTGCGATTTGCCTCCACATAGCAGTAATCAACGGCCTGCTGCTAACAATTTACAGAGGAGCTCTGTACAAGGTAAGGCACTGACGTCAGGAAGTGACTTCTCTTTATTTCACCGTCAGTAAGCTTGTTTTGTGTTCTAGTACACGTTTTTTTTTAATGTGTCTTCAACAAATGACTACTTAAACTGAGAGTGATACACAGGTCATGTCAGTTCCACGGTTAAGCTAACACAACTAAATGCTGTGTAATCTCATTAGTGCAGGAGATAATGTTCCCTAAATAGAAAGGTCAACATAAACTAGTTGACACTTTGCGACTGTGCTATGGTTATTCAAACCACACATACGCTTCAATTTTGTGAAGTAAAAAAAATGTCAATTTTTTTTCCACGTTTGATCCATATCTGCTGTCATTAAAGTAAATTAATGTTTATATTTAAGATTTTTAAATTATTAAATCCATTACTAGATAAATCAAATGTAAAATATGGCAGAAACTTAAAGGTGTTTTGGTGGCCTTTTTTTGATAGATTTAAAATATTAGAAGAGCATCAATGATATTAATTTATTAAAAAAAAAAGAAAAACTGTCACCAGATTCTGTGGTGGTGAGTCTCATAGCATTTTTAAAAGTAGTAAATGAGTGTACTTGCAGGCTGTTGTTGACATTTGACCCTTTCTAATTATTCCAGGTCGCTGTAAGAGCCTGTTTTCTGGGAGTTATTTTTGGCTGCGGCCTTATGATAAGCTTATCTGATACAACTTGGACATATTTTGGCTGGTAAGTACATATAAATGTTGAAATGGCATGTCAAAATAAACTCTATGTTCTGAGGATTTTCTGATTAGATTTTTAGATCCTAAGCACATATTTAAAAAGTAAATGATGTAGTATTTTTTACCTGCCTATTGAATAACTGCACAGTAAAAGGATGTGATTTAATTCGGATTCTCGCTCTTTCTAACATGTATGCCGTAACAGTTGTGTATTTTCTACACAAAACAAATATTACATTACATATCAGGTTTGCTTTGAAATAGGAAGTGAATTATGTTGATCAAATATTACAATTCTTGTTTTCTTCTGGCCTGACTAATAACAAATACTCTTTGCAGGTACATGTGTTCTCTGTCTTTCTTCCATTACTCTGAGTACCTGGTCACGGCCATCATCAACCCACGCACTCTCTCCCTGGACTCCTTCCTTCTCAACCACAGCATGGAGTACACACTGGCTGCAGTGTCATCATGGGTGGAGTTCACTGTGGAGAAGCTAACGGTTCCAGGTGTGATGATTTCAGTTTCATTTGTCTCTTATCTGAATTTTGGCCAGCATTTACCACATTTGCTGTTTGTATGAGAACGTATTTAGGACTGTGTGTTTTTACACCACCAGGATACAACATGTATCACATTACAGGTGCCACTGTATGATACATTTTCTAAAGTAGAGTATATCAATATGCTATTTAGACCAGCTGATAAGTGGACATAGGTTGGCTAAACTAAATAAGACACAGTAAAAGTGTAAAAAGGAAAACAGCAATTAAAGACACGGTAAAAGTGTAAAAAGGAAAACAGCAATAATAAAATATTTAATACATTTAATTTCTTCTGGTTCAGTTGGACTTTTAGGGTCTGCATTAGTACTGTAGTTTTTAACACAACCCGTCTCCCTCTCTTTGTCAGAGCTGAAGCAGCTCAGATGGCTCAGTGTCCTTGGCCTTGTCATGGTGCTGTGTGGCGAAGGCCTGCGTAAGGCGGCCATGTTAACGGCTGGCTCCAACTTCAATCACATTGTGCAGAACGAGAAAGCCCGCAGCCATGTGCTGGTCACTGATGGCGTCTACTCTTACTTTAGGCATCCCTCCTACGTGGGCTGGTTTTACTGGAGTACAGGAACTCAGGTCAGTCCAACTGCTACTACCGTACTGTACTTCACAGTATCCTAACCACTGCACCATGGAACCCACAAAACGTAGTCCAGTCTGAGGATTAAACCTGGGCCCACAGTTTTGCAGTCTGTGTCACTCTCCTCTGAGCCAGTCAACCATTGATTGGTTGTTAAAAAGTGGAAAAGGCTTGGAAAAAATATTGAGGTGTTGTTGCACCTCTGTTGGCAGGGTCCAGTCATTTCCTTCTGCTTTCTTTCAGGTTTTGCTGTGTAACCCGTTGTGCACTCTGGCTTACACAATAGCCAGCTGGAGATTCTTCCGAGAGCGAATCGAGGAGGAGGAGCTCTCTCTAATCCACTTCTTTGCCGAGGATTATATTGAGTACAAGAAAAAAGTACCCACCGGGCTGCCCTTCATCTCAGGCATCCGTGTGAACTAGCTCCAGAGGCTGGAAGCTGGATGGTAAAAACAGACCTATGACACTATAGCAGGTCAGACCTGGAGGGTGTGCGGCATCTGCACTGACCACCGCCCTCCAGAGGGAGACCCTGCAGCTGGCTGGACGCCTGTAGTTCACAGACAGAGACTGTGACCGTTGGGTAGGTGGTGGGCAGCTGGGCTGCTGTTTTTTTCTACCAACCTCAAAAATCCAGTTTAAGACCAGAGGAACCTCCATCGTACCTGATGTATTCCCGTTACACTCACCGTATCCGTTAGAACAGTTAACGTTTGCATGCTTCACACATGCACAGTGTTTTCATGTTGTGCTCAAACTGAATCTTCCACTGAGCTCTCTGAGGAAGTTTACATGGCACTCAATTATGAACAGTCGGACTTGAGTCATTGTCGACCGGTTTTTCGGATAATTTTTAACAGGTTGCTATAACTAACACGTGATGCATTGCCTCACAAGCAAAGATGATCATGTGTTTGTGCCGGCTTGGTTCATAAACTAGGTTGTAAACTAGCATCTGTCAAAATAAAGAGTTACTCCACACACACTGAAACTAAGCAGTTTTATCGTACATATACCAAAGTTATAGAATGTGACCTTCTCACTGCTTCTCTTCTGTTTTAGAAATTTAATGTCTGTATGCTGCAGAATCACGAGGCTGGATTGTAAATGATACTTTAGCAAAATCACAAACATCAAGACTAGGGATGTATGCATACACTCAACCCACAATACAATATGATTTTAAATTTTTTGCTATGAAATTATTGTGGGGTTTTTTGTTTTGTTTTTGTTTTTTTAAACAAAATGGGCTCCAGACAAATTATGACCAAATACAATGCTCCTTTATTCGTAAGCATCATGCAAATTAACGGAATACAAAAAATGCCCATTTCTTTCCAGAAACACTGCACTTCACCATTTATCTCCTGTCATTAGTCAAACTGGTCTGGTCTTATTTACCTCGCCAACTGTCAAAACATTAAACAACAAAAGAAAATAAAACAAATATTAACTGGATACCGCCCAGCTGTAGAAATCCATGGACCTGAACAACCTGAAGTGTCCAATGATCTAAACTGTGGCTTCACATACTCCCATATGCCAACGACTGCACACAGAAAAGTTACAGTTCAAGTTAAAAGATCTAGTGAACACCAGGTGTGTGTGTGTGTGTGTGTGTGTGTAAGCATATATCTGCAGTTTATGGAATAATTATTCCTGCCTTTTTAATGCCATGATACACTCCTCTTCACTGATGTAGCTTGATATAACCTTTCAAACCATCTGCTTAATCTAATAGTAGTTATATCCTAATTCCAATGTTTATATATATATATATATATATATATATATATATATATATTAAAGAAACAAAAAAATGTCAGAATTTTTTGCAGCCACGTATTACTATTCCTTACTGTTTAGTATTCAGTGACGTGTCACTCCCACAGCATTATATGAAAATGTCCAGGAGCGTAAACATTTGAACATAACTAAATAGCACTAGCTGCCTGTATTTAGACACATTAAAATTACAGTGACTTGGGTTTAACGAGTGAAAGGAAATGTGGCAGACTGTCCAACCAATCAGGAAAGGGTATCATTTCTTTCCTTCCTTGCGCTGTCAATGACGTTTTTAGTCCATTGTTGGCAATGCACACAATTCCATGCACTACTTTCTTGAGTGAAAATAAACTGAGAGAAGGCTCATCGACCTCAGATGTTGGCATCCGCAACCCTCGTAGGGTAGACGGCCAATTATCTCTTCATTATGTGTGCTATGGTGTAGAATCTGCTTCTAATCCCAACACTCAGGACTTCACTTGAAACAAAAAAGACACGAAAAAAAAGGCATTCATTACTTTCTTGACTTTGACAGGTGCCACAATCTGCTCAAAGCTGAGTTTGTAAAATATAGTCAGAGGCGTGTGCGTGTGTGGTTGTATGTGTGTGTGACGGGGAGAGAAACACACTTGTAGCATATCTATAAATGTGTATTGTCTAGGAATATATCGTCAAACGTTTGTATGCGGCGTGTTTAGAGGTGTCGATTAACCAGACGGGGCATGGCACCTTTACTCTTAAAATCTGTTGCACTTTTATTGAGTAGAAAGGTATTGTTTAATTGATCAGAGTTCCATATATAAAATGTTGTTACTCTGACTGAACCTGTACATTTATTTACAAAGAAGATTTTCTTAAGATTGTGTGTGAATTAAAAAAACAACGCAGTTATTATGAAGATTCGTTGTC